ACACACACTCTCTCTCTCTCTCTCTCTCTCACACACACATACACACACACTCACACACTCACACTCACACACACACACACACACACACACACCGCTGTAGACATTCTGTGCAAGCATGCATGTAGCGTGTAGATTTCGTTGTCCGCTTGTAAGCGCCAGCGAACTTCGTTCCTTTCACTCCTCGTCACGCGTCCTATAATTTCTCCTTTATTAAAAACGATGTCAAGTTATACATGTACAGTAATTTTAAGTTCTTCCCAGCGCACATTGCTTTAATGTGAAATTTCACACACACACACACACACACACACACACACACACACACACACACACACTCTCTCTCTCTCTCACACACACACACACAGATTGAAATACATGTACTCCTCGTCCTCGATTTGGGAGCATGATATAAATAAAACAAAATCTATTCAGTGGGATCATAAGATGTTCAAATCTATTGGTAAACAACATAAATAAGAATACTGTTTTTATTGTTAACTGAAAGAACAAAAAACAGCACAGATGACAATATGGACAAATACATAGAAAGTAATACATGTAATAATATTATGTGATGCAACACGGTGGAGTTGGCCACTCGTCACCGTCAAGTTTTTGGGAATATAAATGGAATTATTGATTTAATTCATCTGAAAGCATGTAAATTTGCCTTGCTTTAGACGACAAAAAATACATAATATCTATCAAAAGTAAAAGTCGAGATCATATTTGAAAAGCACAGGGGGAAAATGACTGTGGTCACAAACTGGAAATTGTGAGGGTGTCAATTTTAAAAGTTTGTGGACTCAAAACTTCATATATATTTGACAGATGGTTTATTGTTGTTGAATGGGAAATCTAACAACAATAATCAACCAAAAGTTGGACAGAACTACAGTTATGAGTCTACAAGCGTTCAAAATTGGTACCCTCTGGATTTTCAGTCTGTGACTACAGTCGGGTTTTTTTGTTTTTTTTTGCCTGTTGTCTTCATTTGCGATTTAACTAAGGGAGTAGAGGTTGCCTGGTCTCAGAGGTAAAATTAGTACATGTATTGTGATGGTCCACCAAACTTTGATGCTGGTGACTTCCAGAGCCGTAGTGTCCTTAACTGTCCTAGGAAACTACAAATCTACATTTTTCGTGTCTTTGAACCATGTTTTACTTTCATTTTGTTTTCTTTTTTTTTCGGGGGGGTTTTTCAATTTCAAGTAGCGCCGAAGACCGCTTTGGACTTTCCTCTCATCCATGGTCTGTAATGTCCACATTTTATATTTTTTCCGCAGTCCTCTTTTAGAAACAAATGCAGGGTATGAAGTAATATGTCTGGTTAATGATGTCCAAAAAAGGACAAGTGCAGAGTGTCTTTGCATTATCATTATTATTATGATACTAAATACATCTACCCACTAAGCTAATACTGACAGGCTAACAAATAGACTGACAGACAATCAACAGACAGAATCTTGAATTAATACATGAAGAGAGCGAGAGAGAGAAAGTGACAGTCAGTGTGTGTGTGTGTGTGTGTTGTATGTGTGTGTGTATGTGTGTGTGTGTGTGTGA